TTATTTTTTTACTTTTGATACTTTTATTTGCACTTGAGGAAAAATACTTTTTAATTGTGGTGGGGTGAGGCCCATACCTTTTGTGTTGACAGTTACATTTTATGTATATATTTGGGATGTCTGTTTATAAATTGTGTTTACACTGCTTTCTGTGAATGTTTGAGCTTGAGGCTCCCCTTATTTTTAATTACAAAATGATTTGGACCCTTCCGAATTTTTTTTATTTTTTTACACATTTTGCCACCTCTCATGTGGTTATTGTGGCTGTTCTTTTGCAAAAAAATTGAGTCTCGGTTTTGTTCAATACCGATGACTTAAATAGTGCATACAATAGAACGAACACGAATGTACGGCTACGATGAGGCAAAATGACGTTTCATAGACAATATGTGAACTCTTTGCATCTCATTGTGATTAGCCATTTATCAAATTGATTCTCTTGTCATGACCATTGCACACTAGCGAAAGTGTGTGGTCTTGTTTGACTCAACTATCAATGCCTTGTCTGATGAGATTACTTTGAAGCTTGTATGAATAAACCTAGAATTTGCCCTATTAGTCTGATTGATTTAGTAAGGTTTGCTCTTGAAATGATCTGAGGCAATTTTTGAAGAGTGTGAGCCAAATTTGACATATACCTCTTTTGTGGCATACCCGCGAGTGTGTGAAACTCTCTTGAATACCCTTTGAGCCTTACCTTTCTTTGGAAGAACCTTGATCACCGTAGACCTTACTTGACCCATTACCTATAATCCTCTTGATTTGTGGTTTAGCAAATAGCCAACTTAGGCCAAAAGCCTAAGTTGGGGGTGTGGTGAAAAGGAAAAGGAGGAGTCAAGAAGTGCAAGAAAAATCCCCCTTAACCCATGGTATTGCAGAAAAATGGAAACCCCCAGAAAAAAAGGTTGTGGAATAAAGTAGAAAAGAAATCGGGTTTCCAAGCAATCCATGGAGGTGAATAAAAAGATGACTTAGAAGCACTAGAAAAAGAATTGATAAAGAAAAAGAAGGTAATGCCTTGAGAACACCACATCTCATGAGGATGAAAAGTCATTGAGCCTAAATGACCATACCTTGGCACTCAGCCCCATTACAAGCCTTAGAAAGACCTTTTTGATCTTGAGTGAGCCGAATTGAAGATCAATTGGAAAATAAGGGCAAGCCTATGGGTGGAAACATGCATTGTGTTCCTCTTTTTGAGTGTGAGTGTTGCATTTGATTCCTTATCTTGAATTGATTAACCTATGTGTGTGAATATGGAATCATTCTTTATGTGAGGGCCTTTAGATACTTTTTGTTGAGCTTGAACTTGCACAAGTAGCAAGTATTGTGAGCATGAGAATCTTTGGTATTGGTCTCTCACAATTTGAATCTTTGAGTGCACAATTTATCTTTGCATGAATAATTTGAGTCTTGTTGTGCATGTTCATGATTTAATCTTGTGTAGCACTATTTGAGACACCTTTTTGAATGGCTTGACTTGAATTTGCTTGAGGACAAGCAGAAGTTTAAGTTGGGGGTGTTGATGAGTCCATAAATTGGACTTATTTAGGTCTTTATTTTAATAGAAATAGTGTCCTCAAATGCTTATTTATTCTAAATATCAGATGAAAACACTTAAGTTTCAGGTATTTGAAGTTTTAGTGGAAGAATGGACACTTAGGCACAAAATGAAACAAAAAGGCAGAAAAGAACGAAGAAGATGAAGCCTGAGCATCGCCAAGCACGTTTGGCGATTCGCCGAAGGGACGCACTCCGCCCTTTGTTCCAGTGTGCTGAGCTTTGAAGGAAAGGATTAAGTGGGCATAAAAAGGAGCAGTCGGCGCATCGCCGAGCAGTTCCGCGAAGCAGTTCTATGTAGCCCAATGACACAGAACACAACGATGCTGAAGGTTGGTGCAAGAAGGAGATGAGCTACACCAAACGGCAAATAGCCGAGTTAATAGGCGATTTCGACTAACCTCGACGAGTGATCCTCCAACATTACTTTCTGAAGTCTATAAATACTAAACTCTTTAGTAATTTTAGAGAGAATCGAACAATTATTATAATTTCCATATAGAATAGTACTTTTTGCTCTAAGTGAGAGTTTGGAGACTTGGAGGAGAAGAGGGTTTTCATCTTCAAGATTTGGAGTTGGGTCTCTTGGATTCTTCATTCTTTGCCTGTAACAATACTTAAATCTTCATACCCATTTGAATGCAAACTCATTTAGGTATAAATTTATATCTCTTGATGTGTGGCTAAAAACCATAATTTTTGGGGTGTGATTTAGTAAATATGGGTTAAGATATTTGTTGGGTCTTGCGTGCTAATAGTTTATTTGTAGTTTAATAGTGATTTCACCTAGTGGTTTTGGTTTAATTTAAGGGGTTTGTAGTTGCGAATACAAAACCACCCATGTGTTTTTGGTTTGCTCGAAAGAGGGGTCGTGAAACCAAAACTGCTAGACTAATGGCCTAAGGAGTGGGTCGACATGAGGTTCAGCCCTAGAGGGTGAGCCATAGTCCCATATCCTAACACTCAGTTCAAGAGAGTGAGTGGGGTAAGGGGTAGGCTGGCCTTCATGTGGTTAGTGGGTGTCCAAGAGGAACACATTTGAAACGGGGTAAGCTGCTCGAGAGAGAACTTATTTCCACATAAACCTTAGCCTAGTCATTATTATTCTATAAATTCTCTATCGAAAGTATGTACCCAATAACATAGATTAACCCGTATTTCGGTCACATAACAAGAATTCCCCTCTCATTGCTTAGATTTCTTGTTAATTTGCTATATTTATTTAGTTGTGACAAAACCCCCATTTGATATTTGACACTTTGTGTCACCTCCTTTTATTTACTATGTTTTTACTCGTTAATGTAGAGCTATGACTAGTTAGAACTAAATTTTATTTTTCTATTAATTCTCAAAACCACTCCCTTTGGACACGACCCCAACCCTTTATTGGGTTACTATATTATTGACTGTCGTATACACTCGTACCATAGGTTAGTGTTGGTGGTCACGATAAACATCACAAGGCGCCTGTTGCTGAGTCACTGGAGGTCAGCTTCGACAATGAGGGAGTTAACGCTACTCACCTCACTACTTCTAAGAGTGAGGGATAGCATTAGGACATCAGGCTGGCATTTCTGAGCCCGAGGATGATCAACTGTTACTAGCCCGGAGAACTTAAATGCGCTCCAAGAGGTTGAATGATCCATCTAGGATCCGAGTACCCTAGGCCACTACTCCTCTTTCTATTCCAGATGAAGCTATGGTCCCAGGTCCTCCTCCCCGGTCTCTTAACACACTAAAGGTTGAGGGACTGAGGACTATTATTGAGGAGAAAAGATTGTCCATAGACGGTGTGGTGGACAGATATCCAGAGATCTGGTACACCCTCAAAGCTGACAAGTTCTAGATATTTACTAAAACCCATGGCCCTATGATGTGGGATTTTGATTATGAAGGAACGGTTTTATGAAATCAAGCATGAATTGAAAGATTTCCATGTAGTTATGATGATATCCTTATCTAACCCATGTTTTCTAAATGTTGATGACTGAAATTGGTTTTTGAACCTTGAAAGATAAATTATGGAATTATGCATGTTCTTATGAAATCTATCCAAATGTTTTAAGAATGCTTTGAAAGTAAAATATCAATGATGATGTTGTTGTGTTGTTGAAAGGATTTCTCATAAACACATAAAAGCATGATTGTGAAAGGTTTTCTCACATAGTAAGGATTCTATGGTTGAAAGGTCTTCTCACCGAAATAAATCAAAGATTAAAAGTTATCCTAATGAAACTTAGATTCGATTGGTTATTGAATGATACCTTTCCATGGATAATGACTTACCTTGAATTTGCAATATGACGTGCCCTTCCATGGATAATGAGTACAAGTAAGAAATGACTATTTCGTGGGATTTATGCTTAGCACAGAGAGGATATTGAGATGAAAGCTCTCTTATTAGTAGAGGTTGGGTTCCTAGAAGAAATATCCTTATCCCTTACCTATGTGACCTCATAGAATGATTGTCTAGATAGACACTAGCTAGTGGATCCACTTAAGCTAGAAGTTCATGGCCCTTACCTTGGCAAGTAAGACAACCCTTTTCGGTGTAGGAGTCACTAGGGGATCATCTTATAGATCACATGGTCTATATGTTGGTTAACGATACTTCCGAGAATAATAATGAACTAACGTTACTTCAAGAAGTATCGCACATGTGTTCAAAGGTTTTAATGATATAATCTTGCATGGGCCATGTTTTATGACTTGTGTTTTCTAACCCTTTTATATCATGCTTTATCTTGGTCAATTGAATATCATGAAATGCCCTCTTTTAGCGTGATTTGAATGTTTTATATATAGATATCATACTTGGTACATTGTTTTGTACTAACACATACTCTTGCCTATATTTCCCTTAATGTAGGGTCCGACAGTCAAGTTTCTAAGTTTCGTGGAAAGTGGCTGATTACGAGGTTCCCAAGCTTTGGTGAGTCCTCATGCTTCGAGGAAGGACTTTCATTGTTTCAGACTTCCTTCTTATTTCCAATTTTTGGACATGATGTATAGGCTAGGCCTAATTTCATTCTATTTTATTAGATGGCTGATGAGACAAGTGTTTTAGACTTCCTCTTTACTTTTATAAAACTTTGGACTTGAATTATTGTCTTTACTTCTTTTGTTCTATTTCTTATGTCATGAATGCTAAGTGGCTTGTATGGGGTTTCTCAGTGTCCTATATGCCATGTTAGATCTATGGTGTACCCTGGGTCGTGACAATCTTAGTAATCAGAGCACAAGGTTCAGAATGGTCCTTGGATGTCTCAAAAGCCACATGAACTAGAGTCTTGTTCATGAGTGTGAAGCGTGCCACATTTATGAATGAAAGGCTACAAGATGTTTAGGAAACTCCACTTCTTTCATTACTCTAAAGTCGTGCGATAGAGTTTAACTCCATAAGGTCTCTTTCCTAATCCTTATCAGATGCTCTATAGGATATGGCTACTCGAAGAGCTTATACTAGAAGGAATGTGAGGGAGAATGCGGAACAAGAAGCTCATCCCCAAGCTCTTCAAGTTCCGGTTGATCATTTTGGCGAGCAAGTAACTAATGTGGAGTTTAGGGCTGCTCTTCAAGTGTTGGCTCAAGCAGTGACGGCCCAAGCCAGTTAACATAATTGTCTAAATATGCTCCAACAATGGTTAATGATCCTAGGGCAAGGGTGAGTAAGTACGTTTTGGGTCAGTCCAAAGTGATGGTTAAAAAGTGTCGTACTGCTATGCACATTAATGATATAGACATCGCTCGTCTCATGGTTCATGCTCAACAGTTCAAAGAGGAAAAACTTAAGGAAAAGTCTTGGGAAACAAAGAGGGCTAAGACCGGTGATGGTAATTTCTCTCATGCAAGATTCGAAGGACATGATCGTCCTAGATTTCGACAGAGGTTTCTTGGTCAAGGTTCCTCCAATGCTCCTCCTAAGTTCAACAAAGAAAGGGTGTCTAACCCTAAGAGTCAAGGAGTGAATCGTAGTGGATATTCATTGCATATGTCTATTTGTGGTAGGTGTGGAAAGAAGCACGAAGGTAAGTGCCTAGTCGGCATAGATGGTTGCTTCAGTTGTGGTAAGAATGGTCATAAGATGACGGATTTCCCAAAGCTCACGGCTAAAGGAAGAGAGGGCAAACAAGAAAATCCTAGTGGTTTGGGTTCCAATGCACCCAAGAAAAACTGATTCTATGCACTTCAGACTCGTGGTGAACAAGAGGGTTCTCCCGATGTGGTTACTGGTGTATTGAAAGTTTTCCAACTTGATGTTTATTATTTACTTGATCCCGGTGCTACCTTGTCTTTAGTAACGCCATATGTGGCTATAAGGTTTGATGTTCCCCCGGATGTGTTGTTACATCCTATTTCTGTCTTAACTCATGTAGGTGATTCTATTTTGGCTAAGAGAGTCTATAGAAAGTGTCCCATTTCCTTGTGCGATAGAGTTACTCTTGTTTACTTGGTAGAGCTTAATATACTAGATTTTGATGTTATTCTTAGGATGGATTGGTTGCACTTATGTTATGCTTCATTTGATTGTAGAACACGGGTAGTCAAGTTTCAGTTTCTGAATGAGCCTGTCCTAGAGTTGTAAGGGGAAATTCTATGCCTAAGGGTCAGTTTGCCTCTTGCCTTAAAGCTAGAAAGATGATTTCTAAGGGTTACATTTACCATTTAGTTAGGGTGAGGGATGTAGATTCCAAAACCCCTACTCTTCATTCAGTCTTCATTGTTAATTAGTTTCCGAAAGTGTTCCTAGATGATTTACTCGTTATTCCTCCCGAGAGGAAAATAGACTTTAGTATTGACCTTCTCTCATATGTGCAACCTATTTCTATTCCTCCTTATGGAATGACTCCGGCGAAACTAAAGGAGTTGGAAGAACAATTGAAATATTTGTTGGATAAGGGTTTCATCCAACCGAGTATCACTGCATACGGTGCTCCAGTTTTGTTTGTTAGAAAGAATAATGGTTATCTTTGTATGTGTATTGACTATAGTTAGGTAAACAAGGTGACTATTAAGAATAAGTATCCTCTTCCAAGGATAAATTATTTATTTGACCAATTGCAAGGAGCAAGTTACTTTTCCAAGATTGATCTTAGGTTGGGTTATCACCACTTGGGGGTGAAAGAAGAAGATATTCCAAAGACGGCCTTTCGAAGTTGATATGGTCATTATGAGTTTTTCGTAATGTCGTTTGGGTTGAGTAATTCCACGGAGGAGTTTATGGATTTGATTAATCGGGTGTTTAGACAATACCTTGACATGTTCGTAATTGTGTTCATTGTTTATATATTGATATAATCGAGAAGTGAGAATGAGCATAATGTGTAGCGACCCTTCCGAAATAATATAAGCCAATAACTCACAAGATTTTTATGCATATATTGTACTCACACTAGAACAAAAAAATGACATAAAAAAATATTACCAACTTCCAAGTACCCAAACTAGGTGGTTCATCCTTCACACATTCATTCAAAATTAGTACTAAATTTAATATATTACAAGACCTGGGCTTACACACCCCAAAAGAACAAAACATAGAGCCATACTTATATTACAACCCATGTGACATGATCAAATTAGTCCTCAAAATTCCATGTAACTATACAACACATAGATCATGTACAAATCCCAAGGTTTATACAAAATATAGATGTCTATATGCAACTGTGATCTTCCTTAATGCTCTCAAAATTTCCCTCTCCAATGGCCAGCTTCATGCATCTACTCGCTCATTCCCTACTATAGAAACAACTATCGCTAAGAATATAGCTTAGTGGTGTAAAACTATAGGTTCGGAGCCATCAAATTCACAAAACTACCTTTCTCAAGTCATGGGCAGCATAATCGAACATAATAAATAAATCAAGTAAACAATATATCTAAAGTATCAAGTTCGATATTTAGTGGTCCAATTGTCAAGAACGCTCATAGCACCATTTTCCAATAGATTCAATAACAAGGCTCGCCCAATATGTACATCATGTCTTCACACCTAGCACAAACAAGTATCAAGAAGGGCCGACGCCCTGTATCAAGAAGGTTCAAAGCCCAATAATCAAGAGAACCAAGAACCATATTAAAAATGGTTTTCTAATTCGTACGTAAAATGGACAACTTCCATATTTAAGACGAACTAAAAATCCAGAGTCAAGATGGCAAATGATCCGAATCAAGAGGCATGCCAATAGTGACAAAGTCACAGCCACAAAAGGAAAAGGTCCCTACAAGAGTGCCAGGTGATCAAACAATCCATACAAGTGGGCGAGTTACACAAGCGTCTTTAACTTCTCAAAGGATACCAATACAACAATGCAAAGTGACAAGAGTAACCAAGGTACCAAGATCGAATTCCAGATACACTAGCAGTTAAAAGAGGCAAATGCAAGTTTATACACAAACCTCAGTGCTTTAGCAAAGAAACAGTCCAATACAACTTCAAGAGTTCAAACCGTAGACCACAGCGTATCAAGGTCCTCAACTTGTTCACGAGTATATACAACCTTAAAAAATACAATTAAATAACTTCTTTAATTCCCAGCAGCTCAATAATATTGGTGTAAAATAGAATTATCATCACAAGTAAGCTTAGCCTGTACAAACACGACTATGCTCCCAAAACAGTGATTCTGGCCAGCCTAGTACCTTATGTCGCAACTTAGATTTGAAATGGAAAACGGCAAAACTACACTTTATAACTTCATGAAACATGTAGCTACACCTCTTAAGGTTGCAAACAAACAAGAATCACCGTAAAATATTTTTTTTATAAAAAGATATATTCAAAACACTAACAGCTGTCCATACAGGATTTCAATTTCAAAATCTGGACAGAACTTGTTCTATGTTGCGTCCCATATTTCGATTCTATAACAGCTAAATCAGAGTTTTACATAAACATAAAAGTTGTAGGTCATGAATTAACTTTCCAAATCAAATTTATTCACTGTAAACGGAGTTCTAGAGGACGAGATATACATAAATTACCAAACACAATCCAGCTAATTAACAAATTTTGTCACTTACCAAAAAGAAGTGTGTGTCTCGAATGCCAGCCAAAAGAACCAAGTTTTCTCTTGTGATTTTGAAGAACAATCTGTTTAGATATGTTTATAAGGTTCTAAGGCTTGTGGAAAACATAATTACTAAAGGAGGGGTGAAAATATATAGTCAAACAAGTGATGTTTATCCCTTGGGCAGCTGTCCTTCAAAGGTGCTGCCCAAAAATTTGTGTGTTGCCCAAAATGCATACATATACACCTATTTATATATATCCCTCATCTCCTTTTAAAGTTATACATAATTCTAATTAAATATTACCTAAACACCCCATCACAATCCCTTAAATTACGATTACAATTTATGTTAAGCAAGTTAGCAATTATCACAACATTTCAAGTTCCTAAAATGAGAGTAAAACATATTGTTGTAATGAAGCAATGGTAAATCGACATGCGACTCTTGGTTAATATTTAGGGTGTTACAACTCTCTCCCCCTTAGTGAAATTTCGTCTCGAAATTTACCTTACACCCGGGATACTGGGTCCTCATGTCCTCTTCTCTTTCCCAGGTAGCTTATTTTCCAAAATGGTTCCTCCAAAGCACCTTTACTAAGGGGATTCTCTTGTTTCTAAGTTGTTTACTTCTCGAGCTTCAATTCGGAAAGGTTCTTCATTATAACTCAAGTCAGGATTAACCTCAATATATTCAACTGAAAGAACATGCGATGAATCAGAACGATATCTTCTGAGCATAGAAACATGAAAGACATTGTGGATCTTCTCCAACTCCGGTGGAAAAGCTAATTTATATGCAACTGGTCCAACCCTTTCAAGTATATCATAAGGTCCAATAAATCGGGGACTAAGTTTCCTTTGGCCAAATCTCATAATCTTTTTCCATGGAGACACCTTTAAGAATACTTTATCTCCCACTTGACATTCAATGTCACGCCTTTTAATATCAGTGTGCGACTTTTATCTATCTGAAGAAATCTTATATGATCCTTGATAATTTTTACCTTCTCCTCTATTTGTTGCACAATCTCTGGACCAATAAGCTTTCTTTCCCCAACTTCACTCCAACAAAGGGGTTCGACATTTCCTTTCGTATAGAGCTTCATAGGGAGGCATTCCAATACTCGATTGGTAGCTTTATTATAAGCTAATTCTATCAAAGCCAAGTGTTTGTCCCAACTACCCTTAAAATCCATAATGCAAGCTCGAAGCATATCCTCCAAAATTTGTATCACTCTTTCCGACTGGCCGTCTGTTTGAGGATGAACGAAGTGCTAAATTTCAACTTAGTACCCAAAGCTTCCTGCAAGCTACACCAAAATCTAACGTAAACCTTGGTTTCGGTCAGATACAATAGACATGGGATACCATGTAGTCTTACAATCTCATTAATGTACAATTCGGAAAAACGCTCAAGTGAGTAATCCATCCTGATTGCTAAGAAGTGAGTACTCTTGGTTAGCCTGTCCGCAATCACCCATATTGCATCATGATTTCTTTAGGTGCGAGGAAGTCCAGAAACAAAGTCCGTAGTTATTCTCTCCAATTTCCATTCCAGCATCGACAAGGGCTGTAGTAAACCAACTGGGACCTGATGTTCTGCCTTTACTTGTTGACAAACCAAACATTTGGAAATAAACTCTGCAATATCTCTCTTCATACCATTCCACCAATAATGTTCTTTGATGGTCTGATACATCTTTTACCTCCAGGATGCATTGCATATGGTGAAGTATGTGCTTCATTCAGTATTTTTCCCCTCAAGTTGTCATCATTAGGGACACATAACCTCTTCTGATAAAATAAGACACCATCCTCTGTTAATGTAAAATCAAGCTTTTCCCTATTTTGAACTTCTCTAGACAATTTTACCAGTTTCTCATCTATCTTTTATGCTTCTTTCACCTGTTCAAGTAATGTTGGCTTTACTTGAAATTAACAATAACTGAACCGTTTGAATCAGCTGTAAAACAAACATTCATGGTTCTTAACTCAAGCAGCAAGGGTAAAGGACTCCAAGAAATGCTTGCAACGAATTTTTGACTTAAAGCATATAACCACATTGGCTTTACCTGTATGATAATCAATCGTGCAGTCGTAATCCTTGATGAGTTCAAGCCATCTACGTTGTCGAAGGTTTAGCTCCTTCTGAGTACCTAAG